GGCCTGCTCCCAGTTGGCTTGTTAGCTCAATTGGTAGAGCGCTGCACTAGTATCGCAGAGGTCAGTGGTTCGAGTCCCGTACAGGCCTGATTTTTTTAAGGTCTGATTTTCGCTATTGCTTAAATAGCGCTATCTACTGCGAGGATCGTGCATCATACCTATCAAATACCGCAGTTCAAAATATATGATTTTCATATATTTATTCTATCTCAAAATCTTGCTTGTTTATCAAATAAAACAAATATATTCCATGATGCAGTGGGCCTGTACAGTCAAGAAGATTTGGCTTCACCCATGTGCCTCTTTTTTGTTCTCACCACATTTTGATGTCATGCATCCCTTTTTTGTTCTTACCACATTTTAACGTCTGAAATTTGTTACCGAACAGACGCTGAAAAGCATGGAATCTATTTGTTAAATATACGCACGCTAAACGCAAATCAATTCTTAATTACATGCACGCTCTTATCGGTTCGGTTTCAACAGGTAAAACATTGCTAGGAGCGTTTCTTACCTTTGGAGCAATTGCTTCAAATTCAGGCTGAATTATTTTAGCTGAACTGAACAAGGAATTTAGCTTGTCATCTGCTCTCGTTTTGCTTTCAGTCTTTGAATGTAATGCTTTGGATATTTCGCCAACTTTGTAACCAACTAACGCGCTAGAACTTGCCGACGCGGTCGCCATTATCACCACTCAACTCATACCCAATCCCTTGCTAGTCTCTCGGCCGTTCACCCAAAACTAGCCCAAACGATAATGGTCTTTGTAGTGATTCTCTACAATATCTTCCACTGTTAGAAAATAATTGTGTTAAAGGTTCGGAAAAATCGAACATAGTTTAGGACGCGGTTTTATGAAACAATGGCTAACCTTTATTGAAATGACCAAAATTCAGAAGTTAAGGCGGTGGGGCAATGAATCTTTCGCGTCAACTGAATATTCTTCAATTTCTTGCGCATCACTAGCAGTAAAACAAAGTCAAGAACAAGGAAACTGATATGATTAAACAAATCTAGAGGTCTAAATTCTAATCTAAAGTCTACGTACATTAGATTCAAATCAAACAGATACGTGAAGATTATAGGAAGAGTTAGGTGTAACAGGCAAGAGAAAATAATACGACATTTTTCTCTTAGTGCAACATTGGCGGCAAGAAGCGCAAGTCCGGCCCGTCCAAACTTATTCAGTCAAACTTATTCATCCAAACTTATTCGTCCAAACTTATTCAGCCAATTTACCATTTCAACTTCGTTGACCCCTACCGACGCAGCCTCAAACAGTTTCTTTACAAACTATCAGCCTTTATTCAGTAAGCTTAGCATTTTATCACAAGAGCACTAAGTAATGAAAATTTCGAAGTAAAACGATTACTGCTAGTGATGCGCAATCACAAGAGCACTAAGTAATGAAAATTTCGAAATTTTTATCTTAATATTAATACACTAAATAAGTCATACTTGTCGGAAGGGCGCGCATTAGACAAGTACTTAAAAAACTCAACAGTGAAAGGAAGGAGGAGAGGAGGGGAGAGGGGATGACTGAAATACTCTATCAGTGACTACCCCCCCTCTTTCTCCCAAAATTTGTGTTCACCCCCCTTAAATCCTCGGACCTCTCATCCTGCCCCTTCGCGATAAATTGTGACTCGTTCGTTTACATTCTATCAATAAGTGCATACAGCTGACAGAATATTTTTTGTCATCCGACCGAATAAGAACCAACAACTGAGAACGTATCAAGTTTGGAACCGATTAAATTAGTGTGTAAAACTGACAGAGTAATTAAATGCGCACAACTGACGGAAGATACTGTTTACAACCGACCAAATAAGTGCACCTAACTGGTAGAGTAAATGTTTCAACATGCCGAATCAGTGCGCAAAACATACGGGGTTATTTTGATTACAGACCGAATGACTACGTAGAACTGGTAATTTTTACAGCCAGCACCTGACAGCCGACCGAATAGGTGTGTAACACTTACAGAGCTCGAGTATCAAGGTTAGAACCTACAGATTGAATGCGCGCATCTGACCGTATCCGGCCGCTTCGCACGAATTCGTACCCAGTACATTCGCTTCGAAAACAAATTCAGGCTGTCTCTGCTCCATGAGGTTGGTTCGGTTCCTTCCAGAAGCGCTGCTTAATTAAGCAAAATTTCTAGACGAATTAAATTTAGGGGTAAATCAAATTTAGTTTGATAACAAGTGATTTTCGACTGATACTCGGTGTGTTTTGTCTTTCAGCGTTTTTGTTTTGTTTTTTTTTTGTTTGTTTTTTTTTGTTTGTTTGTTTTTGCGTTTTTATGGACCGCCTATGTAGAGGTCCATAAAAAAGGCAAAAAAGGAATGAGGATAACATCCAGTTTCCTGGACCAAACAAGCTTGGTCAATAAAGGTTATACTGAGGATTTGGTACAAAGGAAGATCATTGCTGATCAAGAAAGCCAACTGTTTTTGTAGCATAATAAACCCACAAGAGCCATTTATGCCTTTCCTGTCTTCTCCCGCTTTTTGCGACTGTATCACTAACATTGTCCAAAACTTACGGACTTTGCAAGATGGGCCAATCTTGCCCGCTCGGAATCACAACACAGGATTCGCTTCGTATTTGAACCGGGCACTGAAAATATGAGTGATCATGAAGTATCGACGTGCATCGACAAACCATAGACCGACTATCGACTGGCAATCGACCGATACTTGACTCATACTCGGTTAAGTAGGGGTGCATCCTCGGAGACCCAGGGGCTGTGGGTCGATTTCAAGTCAGGGCGTGAAGAGCCCCTGGGGACATTTTCTTACAAGACAAGTTCCAAACGGTCGCAGTCGTTCTGCCATCTGATTGGTGCCAGAAAATCGTTGTTTTTCTGCCCAATCAGAGTGAAGTGTGCTTTAGAGTCCTTTAGCGTGTTTTGAGACGGACTAATACAACTGGCTCAGTTGCTCGCTACGTTTGTTTCGACCGTGCGACGGAGATTTGCTTGAGGCGAAAAGTTTCAGTCTCGGCACACAAAGTAAGAGAAATCGATCAGATTGTCAGCGAAAATCTAACCGGAAATTATACTGAATACTTTCGCTGATATCACTAGAGAACGTGTTTTAAAGTTTGCGAGGTTTGTATACAACACGATGGTTGCAGTCATTGATATGTCGCTTTAAACGTTAAACGAAATTTCAGCTTAAATCTTTCCAGATTTTTTGCATAGTTTGCTGTGACTGAAACGTTTTGCCAATCCTGTGAAGTTATTTCGTCGCACGGGCCACGCAGGTATGTCGAGCAACTGGTACTTGCGCAACTTTCTGTGCGTGCCAAAATCTAATCTCAACTTCGCTCGAAAAAAAAGAAAAGTTAAGCGTGGAAACTTTTGCTTATGAGATGTGGGTAGATGACCCCGTACTACTAAGCTGACATTTGCAATAAAGCAAACCCGCCCTTTCCATCCAATATTTCGTGGTCTTTGGTTTTGTGTTTCCCATTGAAAGCAGCATCGGATCGATTCCCAATGATCAAAGGTATTTAACTTGGTCTTCAACAATCATCAGAAGAGGTTAAATGACAATGACCAAGCTAAGGGACTAGAAGAGAATCTGTGACCTTCCTTGCTGAAGAATTTCAACACTCTAGGCAGCAGTTGAAAGATTAAACTCTTTCCAAACACCTTCGGTAACTGCCCGAAAACATCTCTCCTTCCCATGATGTTCTCGTTAAGAAGTTTTTGTTCAGATTTTAATTAGCTAACTGGAAACACAGCTAAGCTTTCTCTTAGCACTTGCTGGAGGTCATCCATGAACTTAACGTTCTCTGCAACCCTGGCCATATTGTGAACGAGTTTACTACAAGGTGAAGATTAGATTTTGGCATGCACAGAAAAAGAAAGCAGAAAGCTACGTAGGCAAAAGCGCAAGTTGCTCAACATACCTGCGTGGCCCATGCGACGAAATAACTTCACGGCAAAGTTTCAGTCGCAGAAAATTATGCAAAAAATCTAGAAAGATTTAAGCTTAAATTTCGTTTATTGTTTAAAGCGACATATCAATGACAGTAACCATCGTCTTGTATACAATACTTCGCAAACTTTAAAACACGCTCTCTAGTGATACCTGCGAAAGTATTCAGTATAATTCCCGGTAAGATTTTCGCTGACAATCTGATCGATTTCTCTTACATTGTGTGCCGAGACTGAAACTTTTCACCTCAAGCAAATCTCCGTCGCACGGTCCAAACAAACATAGCGAGCAACTGAGCTAGTAGTATACGTCCGTGTTAAAACACACGACAGGACTCTAAAGCACACTTCACTCTGATTGGACAGAAAAACACAAAGATTTTCTGGCACTCATCAGATGGCAGAACGACTGCGACCGTTTGGAACTAGTCTTTTAAGACAATGTCCCCAGGGGCTCTCCACGCCCTAACTTGAAATCGACTCAGCCCGTGAGTCTCCGAGGATGGTAGCGGTGAAGTGTCGGTGACACATCAGTGAAGTAACGACAGTAGTCGATCGAGATATCGGACGACTCTCGACCGATGTATATCGACCGACAATCGACCCCTATATCGATCCCGACACTACCTATAGTACACATGATCGGTATATTTTCTCTATCATTTAAGACACAAATACGCTGATACGCACAGGTAATTCCCTGAAAAATAAAACCAGATTTATATCCATAATACCAAAACGCATAATAAAAGTACACTCAGTTGGGTCCATGAGCTTTGGGACGGCCCATTTAAATTTAAAGTGGGTGATGAGGGATGTCCAAGTCCGTGGAGATATCGGCTCCTTTGGTATGTAAATAGTTTACATCACTAACATAAAATATGTTGATTGATGCAAAATCTATATTCAAGATAAATATCAAGGTCGCGTAATTAACGACATTTGATGATTGAAATTCCATTCCAACGTCAAAAAATTCGTCGCCCGGATTTCAGCTGGTCGTTTTACCTTCCTGTTAACAATTTGCTCCTAACTTGGTCGTTAAGAATCAGGCTCCAAGATATCTTCGTCTAAGTATGCTGGAGTAGGGACATTTCCTCGTTCAGGCAGCATGTGTTGGAATTATTTGCCTGTGGGGGCGTAAAAGCACTATCTTCATCATCGCCGAGGCTTGATCGAACATGGACTGTAAGTTATAGATTTTTGTCATTTTCCGTTATTCTTTTCTGCAGTCATAAAGAGGGATTATTAAGTATGAACAGGTTATTCCAATGACGCTTTTCGTGTCATCGTTGAGGCGTAGTGAGCACGGTCGAAAATAATTGAACCAAATCGACAACAAACAACACGAACTTAGAATGCTGGTTTGTATTTTCCCTCAACCAGCGGACAAACGGCGAGTGAGTTCTAATGACATACTATTTCAGGGCAGGGAATAACGGTTTCATCGTCCGTATAGAAAGTTATTTAGCTGAAGAGATGGGCTACCGCAATATTGTGCGAGTCAGTAATGGTAGTAGAACTCTGTAGGGGAAAAGTTTGCTTAAGTTATTGAGTACATTTTCAAATCGATTTATGATGATTTAGTACCGACTTGTATAAAGCAGTACATCCATTCTGTAAGTGGTGAAAATTCGTGAGAGAGTCAAGCGGTTAGAAAGTTCTAGTTTACCTTGTGATCAGAGAATACCCTTTCGAGCATTTTACGTCTGATGTGGATTAGTCTAATAGTTAACAAAATTAATACCTGTTGAATGCGAAGAATCGAACTGATATAAAGTGGGTCGAGATTTTAGTGATGAATTATACTTGAGCAACTGCAGAATTTGGTTCACTGTAGATAGGATGAAAAGCCCAGATTTTTACTGAATTGGCTCGGTGCAGTTTACTGAGGAATTGAGGCGCTTTGGAGACTGATTACTTAATGATTGGGGAAATTTAAAGTCCTTGGATAACAAATTATCCAACTTTATTGTCAATTGCTTCATTTCTCAAAAGAAGTGCTTTACTCTGACTTTGAAAAAGTGAAGAAGAAACGAGAATCTATCAAAGTAGTGGTTTAAAACAAATTTAGCGACGTTCTTTGTTGTGTAAATTCTTCAGTTACAAAATCAGTCAGCCAGACAGCGACAACTCGTTCAATTTATCTTGCTTAATCTTGTAGAAGCTTTCCGTTGTGGACTTAATAAACTGCACCAGTATACCTCCAGTTTTTTTCTGTATCTGGTTTCTAAGCGTTCCTCGCTAAGTTACTAAGAAGAAAATGTATTCACAGCTGCAATTAGCCTTTTTGGTATTTTTTGGCGCGCGCGCTCAAACGCGAACCGCGATGATTTCCCAACTGTTTAACGGCCCGTTTTTCCGCTGTTTTTTGCAAATACTGCAAGGTAAAAAACAAAACAAAAAACAAGGATATGACATCTTTGGTAACTAATGTCGATATTTCGTGGGATCTTTTGGCGCTCATTAGAAGGATGTGCTCTTGGTGATAGGCCATTTCACCCCCAAATTGGTCGATTTGCATAACATACGAAATTCAGTCACACTTCCGCAGTTCTGACATAAAGGGAGTTGTATTAAAAAAAAAAAAAAAAACAGAACCATCTCAGATGCCATCGAAGCCATGCTTTCGAGTTTCGATTGGACAATTCATCTTAGACAGGACGAAATCAAAACTTGTAAATCGCCTTTCAAACTTCAATTACCTTGTCCGGGAAATTGGAAATCGCTGTTTTGTTGGAGGCGATGAGCCTGACAACTGATAGACAACCTCGCACTTTACATAGATAAAGCAGAAGTGATTTCAATACCGGTTTGGTTTTTTCGTCTTTTTCCCTAAGCGATCGCTGAGTGCCTGTTCATCAACTTCCAAACCCAGTAACCGAAAATGAAAAATAAGAGGTAAAAAAACACTTAACAATACCAAGTCAAGTTGTAGGCGACATTAAATATAGCTGTGTTTAGCACGCAACTGTATTTGATAAATAAACTTTGAAATTCGACAATTCCTGTTGCCACAGAAACAGAATGAGGATGCTAAGCATCCATACATTATCTAAAAGTGATTCAGTGCAACCGGAGGAAACGCAGATCAACCGCGGATAATCAAGGAGAAATACATGGACCTCTTTTTTGTCAGTCTTAATATGTTGGCGTTCGAATGAATATTGAACATTGAGTCACGAGTGGTAACCAGTTACAAACAGAAATTAACACAACACCGGTGGGCGGCGAACATATGATGTGGAGCTTAATTCCGCCCGGTAAGCGAGGGTGCTTTAATTTAAAGCAGATTGGAGCTGCAAATCATGTTAGCCATTGTTTCATCAAGATATTATTATTATTAACTTGTCGTAGTTCTGATTGTATTGATCTGAAAAAAGATAATCATGGTTGCAGTTGATAAAAACAGGCTGTTCGTAGACATCTCAGACTCGTCAGTGGCTGCCGCACGGAAACTATATTTTATCTCCAGCCAAGTCTTTGATGTTATCATAGGAAGCATTCATTTATTGCATCCTTTAAATATTGCCAGTCTGGTGTTAGTCATCATATATGAGAAATGTTTTCATCGACAGAGACGGAAATCAGATGGGAAACGAGGGAGGAAATATTCCCAAAACTGTAACATGCGCGGAGATTCGAACTGAAGTGATTAAGACTGATTAAAGGCACTTTCATGTTTTCACAAGAGGATCCCACAGTGAAGCTGTTTTGCAAGCACAATGCATTTTTATAACCTTCTATTAATTACAGCTACAGGCAGACGTTAACATGGTTTCGATAGAAAGATTGTTATTTTTTTCTCGTTGTGCTCCATTTTCTCTCAATTTTGAAGGAGATTTATGAGACCTTTCTATGAAATAAAGAGCCGTAAACGTTTACATGACGTCATAACGGCACAAACTGTCCGTTGATACGGTGGCAGATTGTCAAACCGTATTTGCTAATTGAATTGCTTCGCGCTTATCAAGTCGCCATATCTACCTTTTTTATGCGAATGGAGTACCTTTCTATTGTTCGAGTCGGGGGTTTGATTACATATTACATAGACTGTGATAGACATTGAGTTGGTGATTATGTTGGCTAAGCCCTTGAGTGTTCGGCTAAAAAAAAGAAAAAGGAAATACGAAAGTTTTATTTTACTTGTTGACGGTGACGTTAAGTCTTTTCTTGTTTCTAGGGTATGTTCCAGCTGTCATTTTCCTGGTGTTCATCGTGATCATTTTAATCGGCCTTTTGGCCACATACTATTGCCTGAACAAAGAAATGTGCCCCTGTTCCAAGATGGAACCTCCCCAGAAAATCAAGGGCGCTGGATATGAGGAACTAGGAGAGGAACCAGCGGACACTTCTGAAGAGGAAGAAAGCCACGAGGAAGAAAGAGATGGAGTCGTTCCCGGAGAGGATTCCCCAGAGAAGTTGCCAACGTTTGAAATGGATGCCGGCAGGGACGATACGCAAAAGACTGTCTCTGCATACGGAGACATCCAAGTAGATACAGGACTGAAAGAGGTCGATCAGGTCCCAGTTTTTGGAAGCGTTCATTTTCAAGTTGAATACTCAGTGAATGTAGGGCGTGTAGCCATCACGATCTTGGAGGCTAGAGAACTTCCTTCTAAGAGTCGAGGAGGCAGCTCACATTGTCGCTTTCACCTTCTATTACTCCCCTCAAGACGACAACGCTTTAAGAGCAAGTCACGACCAACGAGGCATCCAAAATTCGACGAAAAATTTGTATTTGATCGAGTTTTACAGCAGGACTTATTTAGAATGGCCATAAGAATCAGGCTTTATGGACACGACAAACTCGGAAAGGAAAAAGTGATTGGAGAACACATATTGCAGCTGGCGGACGTGGCTCAGTCACGTGACATGAAAATGGACGCATGGAGAGATTTGCGACCTAAACTATCAGGCAGTGACACGCCCTAATCTTTTAGCCTCATCTAATTTGTTAATAGTGGTAAAAACGAACAGTAGTATAAGTATGGATAATTGTTCAATTGATTCTTAGTCAGTTTTCTGCCTGATCTGCGCTAATACTGCACCTAACAGGATTCCAAGAAAAAAGACTACTCCTTACAAAAAACGCAGAAAAAACGTCCAGTCGATTTTCTGCGAAAACTATGATGTTCGGAGATGTGCTGAATGTTGGGTGATGGTTATATTGTGTCGCTGTTTGGCTGACATTTATATATTACACTTTGTTTTTGCAATAAAGTGCAAATATTTTTGTAAGAAAATTTGTGTGCTGCGGCGTATTGGGTTAATGGGACAAGATTATGGCAACCATTTGGACTGCATTAGTTGTTGAGGAGGTATGCTGACTTACGGCTCGTTGGTTTTTAAACAAGCCCAAGAAGCTTTTGCATTTCAATGCTTTTTATCTGTTGATCTTGAAGCAAGTCACACCTGGCATTAGACCAGAGACACAACAGGTTCCAACATCACTTCCGGTTTGAAACGATACATAAGAAAAAATTTACCGCTGTTTGATATTCAAATCTCTTCCCTACGGTGTACTTAACTGTCTTTTTTTTTGTCCAAGAGCAGTATTTGTGCATATGATTATGAAAGGAAAGTCACTTTTTTGGGAAAATACGTTTTGCTTCAATGAAAATTGCATTACATACTGCTCACTCTCGGATCGACGAAAGTTATGATCAGTCATATTGAGTTTCCAACAACTCTTTGTCTTTTGACTCCTCTTCGAGTCAGAATTAGAATTTTTCATCTTCGAATACTGTTGCGTTATCACATTTTTCCTTTGAACATCAATTGTCTGGCACGTGTACAAGCTGTAAATAATTATAGAGATTTTTTCGAATGCGGAAATGGAATGATGGGACATTTCTTTCAGCTCCGGTAATCCTGGCTTTTTCTCAGATAAACGCATAAAGGGGGTAAATTTCTGAATAAACGGTGGTGCTGCGTCGGTGGCTAACGCTCGAAACTTCAGCTTAATAAAACTCTTCATGGTGACCAATTTACATTGTCAACTTGATAAAACCGAATTATCTTTTCATTGCTTAGCTAAATTTGAATAACGTTAACAGGCAAACCAAAGAACCGAACCACTTATAAATGACCCAATACTGTCTTTTAGTTTGCCGAATTTTTAAACTTGCCTCCAAAAAAATCTGCATGAGGTGGTTATTAGAACTAGTTCTACGAAAAACATAACATTTCCGAGAATTTTAGAAACGTCACAGCTGCCCCTGTTTAGCTTTCTGATTGGCTGAAATAATTAGCTCATCGACCAGAGCCGCTAAAAAAAAGCAAGATTCGACTGGTTCTTCCTGTTATCATGATTCAATTTTAAAAACAAGTCATATCAATATGGCAACAAACCTGAAAGAGAGCTATGATCTTCTTGGGCTTCCAGTGGATGCTACCGACGAGGAAGTGCGAAAAGCGTACATGAAGAAGGCGAAAGAATGCCATCCCGACAAGAATCCCCAGGATCCACAAGCTACAGAGAAATTTCAGGCGCTAAGTGAAGGATACGAGAGAATTAATTCAAGTTTGAGAACAGAGTCCGTCGATGAGGAATATTTCAGCGGACATAATGACTTCTTCCACTTTGTAATATTTCGGGAAATGATGAGAAGAAGGATGAGAGAGGAGATGTTAAGGAGAATGTTTGGAGGAATTTTTGACGACGACATTGGCCCCGAAGAAGCTCACTTCCCGTTTGGACCGTTTGGAGGGCCTTTCTTCAACCGTCCAAGGTCTCACGAATCTTTCGAACGATGGCATCATTCTCGGTTTCAGGATGGAAGACCATCCAGTGCACACGAGACTTCCACTAAAGCGTCAAAGAAGGGAAAACAGCGGAAAAAAAATCCTCGTAACTCGTCGGCCTCAGGACCCAGCAGAGACACGCATGAACGAGAATATTCAGGAAGACGTAATTTTAGCAATGAGGAAACAGCTTCAGATCGTGGAGAAACCATCGACAGCAATTCTGCTGAAGATTTCTGCGTTAGTAGCGAAAAAGAAACAAGTGACAACAAGCGAGATAAACAACGAAATGGGTCAAAGTCAAAGCAGAAAAATAAAAACAAAGGACAAATGACGGCGGCTGAATGGCAAAAGGGACGAAAGAAAAATCATAGAAAGAAGAAGACGGCAAGGTTCTAAACCACTTCGCCGTCAAATCCGAAATTTTAGCCATGGTTCTGTAAAAAGACAATGGGAAACATGACGAAAGATGATGCAATTCTTACGCTTGGTCTAGTTATCAGTTTCTGTCTCTGGCTGCGTAGCTTAATGGCTCTGTCTATCCCTGGGCCAGTCTGACATTGGTGACAGAATTCTAAACGGGTATAGGAAGCCTTTTCCACCGTTTTTATTTTTTGCTAGGTGCAGTCTCGGACAAAAATATTTGGGACACCTCACTTGTTTTTTAAGTGGTACTCTTGGAGCCACTTGGATTAGTTTGGTAGTTTTTTCCCCCTATCAGATTCAATGGTGATACTCGCACAGAATTCTATACCAATATAAGAATGACATTTTTTATGATAGAACAAATGCAACACGTTGTTTCACTGTCTTCCACGAGAAAAAGCGAGATTGTCTCAAACATTTTGTTGTAGACCGTTGGTTTTTAGATACTCCATTTCTCTTAACTATTGCGATATCGTGGTTGACTGTTGAAGGGTAGAAGTCGTTCTTTCAGTTCGCGAGAAATGTTGATTCAATTGTTTTCTTTGCAATGCCTTAGCGACATTTCAGCTAGACGACAAAGATAAGCCGCATCTCTCAGAAATGAGGACCAACGACACCGCTTTTCTGCAATATAGATTCCGCATGCAGAATAATCAACTTTATTAGCAAGCTTTAAAGAGCTCCTTCCGTACTTTGTTGATAAGACGTTTACAAGTCGTAACAAGTATTATAAGGGAAAATGCTTAGCTAAGTAACTGATTAAGGTAGTTAATTTCCAAGAAATTACAACAAATTCAAATTATTTTTACCAACATCATCTGCGGTGTTAAAACTGTTTGAATCATTGATCAGTTCGTTATTATAAAAAAGGAAATGTCTTTTGATCCCATCAAAATAAACGTTTTCCGCAAAACCGTTGTAATTCATAATTCCTAATTTCGTTGAGAGACCGTTACTGTACATGGTAAATTGAGGAATATAAATGAGAGGGTTGTTTATCATTTCAGAATAAAATATGAACAGCAATCCTTAACATAAGGACTCGTTCTCAGAGCGAATTATGAATGAATTTCAATGTAAGCTTCAAAGGAAAGCAAGAGATTCGTTATGTTCAAAATAATACTACTGTAAAAAAATTAACCACACTCTGACATTCAATAATTCAAGAAAATTAAGAGAAGTGAGTTAATTTTCGGTGGATAAGTGCAGGAAATCGCTTCAAATTTTTCTTATAAACTAATATGACACAAAACATTTTGTCAACTCTTTTTAACAATAATTTTTTATAATTATAATAATTTATAATCCTTCAAAATCGCTTGGCACAACACGACTTAAAAATAAATTCCTACTTCATATCATATCAATTAACGTCAAAATAAAGATGATTACGTTTTGAAAGTTTATACATTTCAGGTAATATTACTGCTAAATGTTCTTTTCTATTGTTGCTTTGTATAATCTAACTTCAAATATCACTTTTCTCTCTTTTTGACAGATTTAACGAATTTTCTTTCATCCCTAATATAACTCTGCCACAAAATAAAGGTCAATAAAACTTCTTGCTAACCTAAACATGACGCCTCACGAAGAGCGTTTTCGAAAGCATTACTAGCTGAGATGTTGGTGAATCTTCTTAACTTTAATAGGAAGATGTTTTCAATATCTTCTGTTTCCTTCACAATCTTTATCTATGCACAATCCATGTGCATAAGAAAACTCCAGTCGTTTTGAGTTGGAAAGCGGAGTTAACAAGTGGTCTCAGTTCGGCCGAACAGGCCGATGGGAAAGTTTTTAATATGAGTAGGCCACTGAGATGACAGTGAAAAGAACTTGACCCCCGTCCACGTCACACCGTCAATTACAACTGTAAATAGACAAACAGAATAACAGTCAAAAGATTCTACAACGTTCTTGACCCTGCTCCAAGTCACACGGTCAATAACAACTGTAAATAGAAAAACTCTATAATAATCAACACATTCGTCAAAGTTCTTTACTCAAATCTACTGCTATACGAAGGCAAAGTGCACATTAATAATAACTTATATTACCTCCTAAGCTTGGTTGTTTTGATTCTCAAATCGTGACATATCACTGATAAATTGACGTTTGATGAAATTGAATTGGAACATGACAGGATCAAATACATAAAGACTATATGAGGAGCTCACCATTTAATGTGCTGCTTTGTCCTTTAGTGGTGCAGATCAGTTTGGATACATTCACCATCACTGGCTGGTTCTTGGAATCAGTGTCTTTCTCTTTTGATTTTTTCATGGAGCGCATCATTGCCTCAAGTCCTGTGACAAAGAAAAAATGGCAACATTTAACAAATTTCAACGCCTTACTCGCCCCACCAATAACAACCTAGCTCCGCCACACAGCCTGAGAATACACTAAGAGTTATGGCTGGAATTGAATAGTCAGAGTAGCCCCTAGCTGTTTTCAATTCTCAAAATCGTGATTACTCGTTGAGGTTCCTAGTTTTTCTAAGTAACTGTCTTGCAAACACAGGACTGATTTCCACCCTCGCTACCTTCACACTAACAATAAAAACAGCATTTCAAAAGCTCAGACCTCTTTTATTGCGTTCCTTGGTGACGGCCATTACTGAAAGTGCAGATGATTCCTCAGGAGTTGAAAGTCTTGTGACCACCAGCGTTTTGAAAGTTGTTTTAAGCGAGGACTAAAAATTAAAACAGGGATTGAGAAAAATTAAAAAGGCAGATGGTACTGTGCAATTGGTGACCTAACTCACTTTGTTGATATCTTTTTTATTCCCTGCCGCAAGCCAATAGTCTACTTGAAGATCCATCTGTTCACTTGAGCACAGGCTCCCTCCACTGCTGTCCTGAAGTCTGGTGGGTAAAAAAATACCAAGCATCGGGAATTATGATTTTTTTTATCGAAGAGCAAAGGGAATGAACCCGGTATCCATATCACAGCTATAATACCCGAAAACTCGATCAGGCAGTTGGGTTAGTTTCCATGCGATAGCTGCGATCGTTTGTAATCACAGATGCAAGAGTATTCTGGAGTAGATAAAATGATAATGCGATCGCCTCTGTCGATGAAGCCGCTTTTCCTGGTGATCGCATCGTTATAAGGAAACAAAGCTTCAGTGGGAGAAAAGGCGACAAATGGAAAGCTAGAAGTAAAACACATAGCGTTCAAAAGTTATCACATTACTAGCTTATTACCATAAACTATGACAAGCAGTAAAGCAATACAAGGTATATAATGGATGAATAAAAAATCTCCTCAACGTCTGTAATAGAAGATAGAAATAATTAGCATACCCACTTAAAGGAGAGGTTGAGAATGGAGGCGTTTGCGAAGATCCCGGAACAGGAGCTTGACTTTCAGCCCTGGAGACAGCCCCTGTACTTTTAGCTCCAATGCTCGTTGGTATTCCACTTGTCGCAACAGGTTCCTCGTCTGCTTGAATTAAAAAACTTCACAATAAAGTTAAACGCTAAAAACGATGAATAATGATTCTAACCAGTGAAGTACCTTGGTATATGTCAGCCGATCCAATCTTAACATCCTGCAATGAAAACGTACAAGTCAAACTACTGTATATCTTGTTCCATTCTCAATGACTCACGACCAGCTCCTCCCTCAAAAATTCAGCCAGTTTTCCGGCAGGTACTAAGGAAGAAACCCCCAGTTGTGAAATGGCCCGGTGACGATGGCTGAAGAACCCTGGGATCCAGTCATGGAATGATAGAGACATTTTCAGATTCCTTGTTTTTCTACATACCGTGAGGTATGAAGTACCCAGGAATTTATTTGGAAGATTAGCGACTCCTTGAATTTTACGATAACAAGCTGTTGTGTCTCGAGAGAAATGAAATTTTAGTTGAGAGATAATTTTTGTGATATTCAGTTCTTGCAGCAACAAGGATGGAAAATGCGTAAATTCAACTCAGTTTTATTACTTGCCGCCCGCCGCAAAATCAAACTAGAAGATTACATACATACATACAAACATATGTTAATTGACCACTCCCCATGGGGGCTTTTCAGGGCCAATTCCCACCCAGCAACCACCCCAGGGGAGGACATCCATCACACAGTAATCTCGTGCGTGGGAAATTGGGAAATTAACGTCTCCCACCCCTAACCCTGCAGGAGACGGGACCTCCATTTATTCGTCCCTTTCCGAGAAGACTAGAGTATCTAACCATTTCTTGTTGTAGAAAGGTAGCATATTCTTCTCACTTGTTTTAAGACCGTGAGTGTTTGTCCGGCCGGGGCTCGAACCCTCGACCTCCCGCACAACAGTCCAGCGCTCTATCCATTGAGCTAACTGGGAGGCGGTTAAGATTCTTTCGATCATGGTGGTTAAGTAGTTATAAACTACTTTTTCCAAAACCAACATAGTCTGTCTTTTAAGAATTTCTGACCCCCTAAGTCATGTTTATATCAAATGATACGATTGTTCCCATAAAACCTTGAAAGAATAAACTTCCTGGTTAATGTAATATCATTTTTCATTCAATCGTTTGACGCTTTACATCGAATTGATTACTTACACAAACAAAAGGCAAAAACACTTGGGAAGATCCTTCCTCTGATCTAGATGATGAAAACCAATATCACATGACTATAAGAACTTTCCGAAATCAAGCATTTCAAACAGACTTGGATATATTCTATAGGTGCATCCCAAAAGCTTAGTAGAGACAGGCTTATCTACCGGTATCACCGAGCTAAGCTATCTCTCACCCCTTTGGTTTTGTATTCACAAGAGCCTCAGCAATCGGTAAGTTGTGCGTGGTTGTAGCTGTTGACATCAAATTTTCTACTCGCCTGCTCACTTCCTCGAAATCTGACAGAACAAAATTCCGAAAAATAATCAGAGAAGATTATAAGACCACAATAGCGCAACAAAATTGTAAAGTATAATGTCCACTATAGTACAACACGTTAGTAAAGTAAAGTGTCCACTAAAGTACCTCATAATAGCAAAGGAAAGTGTCCACTATAGTATAGTAAAGTACAGTGTCGACTATAGTATGTAACAAATGGTCGACACCACAGCGTACACTTACTAAGTTATGGATACACGCGGGAGGTTGCTAAGCGCGAAAGAAGCGTAAGAGTACATTCATACATACTTCAATTGAGTAGGTTAGACTATAGCAGCCAAAGGATGATGTGGACCTAATTACATATAATTAAGAACACTATAATAAGTAAAACTATTTACAGTTACACATAAAAAGTTCATGATACATTCATTTTTAAGGTAAGCTCAAAACAATGTTGAAAATATGTGAAGGTGTAGTCTGATCGTCCGGGTGAGTGTAGTCCTGAGAAGGACTGTTGTCGGTGGCAGTGAGTGACGTTTCGACAACCTGTGCGGAAGTCATCATCAGAGTCAAGCTGATGATGATGATGGCTGATGATGACTTCCGCACAGGTTGTCGAAACGTCACTCACTGCCACCGACAACAGTCCTTCTCAGGACTACACTCACCCGGACGATCAGACTACACCTTCACATGTTACCCCCGGGTTCAAACCATTTACTGCAATGTTGAAAATAATTAAAATCCTTGGATTTCATTGTGACAATGGCAACTTCTTTGTTAAAAGAGAAAGTCGCGCGAGGGGATACTGGTGAGCGACTCTAGCTTCTTGAGTGCTTCGCAAACCTCCCAAGTGCATCCATAACTCAATAGTGTACGCTGTGGTATTTACCATTTGTTTTATAACATATCATTGATACATTATCACAAAAGAGTTCCCATTTATTTAACACTGAAATCTTACGTGACCGGAAAAAAACAATCGCACGGAAACTAGTCTTTTCATTTCTCAGATCAGCAACGTTCACCCATAGGCAAATGGTAGACACTATCTTGACCAATTCAGTTAGAAACTTACCACCCCCCCCCCCCGGCCAAAATAAAATAGTATCCCGGGTAAATAAACAACAATATTATTCTAGTCAAGCGAAGTAAATAACCAGGCCACAATAGTACGTGTGAAAGTGTAATGTGATCGTTCACGTGAGTGTAGTCCTGAGAAGGACTGTTGTCAGTGGTAGTGACTGACGTTTCCACAACCTGTGCGGAAGTCATCAGCAGAGTCAAGTGTAATGATTGGTCAGTTTTGCCGTGATGTTATTGGCTGTAAGACTCTAGTGGCGTAAGTCGGTCGTGATTGGTCTGTTTCGATTCGTCGGTAAAGTTACGTCGTTCTGTTCGGTTCCTCTGTAATTTTTATGTCGTGGATGAGTCGTTTGTATGGAGCCGGTAGTAGTTGACACCTCTTTAGGGGAGTCTGTTCTAAGTTAGTAAACCAGCTTTCCCGGGTCGGTCGTTGAAAGTAGTCAGAGTGCTGTAGGTTAGGCGTGGCGTAGAGTCCCAGTCAATATTGTGGTTCGTAAGTCGGTGATGTTCAGTAATGTGATTGTTGACATCACCTTTCCTCGTCACCCGTCTGTGTTCAGTCAGTCTTGTTGCGAGGTTTCTGCCAGTCTCTCCGATGTAGAAGGCTTGGCAGTCGGAGCAATTGATCTTATAAATCGCTCCCTCTCTGTTCCTCGGTTTGTCCTTGTCTTTAACGTTGATTAGTAACTGACGTAGTGTGGTGATGGGTTTGTGGGCACCGCGAATATTTAACGGTTGTAAGATGCGCGAGATGTTCTTAGACATGCCTTTTATGTACGGTATGGCTGCTGTAGTCGTAGGAGTTGCGGTGTCTTTTGTTTCGGTAGTGGTAGTGGGTCGGTGAGTGTTTCGTCGGTTGAAGTCGTCGTTGTAGTTGTTCTTTGAAAAAACACGGTGAAGGTATTTGTTCTCGTCGGATAAGCTGCCTGTTGAGTCGCATACTAGTTGTGCGCGTCGTGTTAGAGTTCTGATAGTTGTGGCTTTGTGTGATGCAGGGTTGTAGGATGACTCGTCTAGTAATCACGATCGACTTACGTCACTAGAGTCTTACAGCCAATAACATCACTGCAAAACTGACCAATCATTTTACACGAACTGAAATAAGAACATTTTACTGACAACAACTATTCACTTGACTATGATGATGACTTCCGCACAGGTTGTCGAAGCGTCAGTCACTACCACCGACAACAGTCCTTCTCAGGACTACACTCACCCGGACGATCACACTACATTTTCACATGTTACCCCTGGGTTCAAGCCATTTACTGCATCACAATAGTACATTGGAGTATTTCACACCACCATAATGTGGTCAGGATTCTAGAAGTGGATACGTACGTATCCTTGATCTGCTTCTGCAGTTCACTCAAAAAAAGGAATGTGTAGGTATCACCACAGGAAATGGCATAGGATAAGTTGTCAAACTATCCTTTCATTTTCATATAAACTAATTTAGAGTAAACAAAAACTAAAGAAGACTTCCCTACTTACCAATATCAGTGTCTGAATGCTCAAAAGCCTCTTTCCAAAAGTTATCCATAAAAAGTGAGTGGTACCGTGCATCTAGTCCTCCAATGTGCCTAGCCAGCGGTTGACCATCTGAATACAAAGCACAGCAACAACAGTAAACCTTGAAAACCAAAATGTTGCCAAGCAACATAGTCAAGCTAATACTTCTGGCCAAGGTGAATTTTTCAATGAAACTTTCAAGTGATATACTATCATAATGGAAGAATTACTTAGAAAGTTTTCCCTCAATTTTCTTCTTGAATCACTTGTCTTCTAACAATAGACCATTTTTTTGCAGAAGTTTAAAGAAAACTTACCAAGAGGAATAAGGAGAAACCGAAGGAAGGTCTGCCAGTCTGGTGGCTTGGATGAAAAGTGTTCCACATACGGCTGAACAACAGCACTAAGATACGACTCTGTGCCTGCAATGGCCACACCCAGCTGAGGCGGGGAAGCTGAATGAGTATTAATACTGACAAAAGAAACAAGATTGTGGTGAGAGAGAATGAGAGACCACATCTTTCATTCATGTTAGAAAACTTAAAATGGCTGACACCCAAATTCAGTTCAATATCTTATTGAAGTTGCTTAATTTATATTTTTTGTGCTGGATTGAGTTAGCTGACATAAGACCTTCCTCATTTCGATAAGGAAGAGCAAAGATTTCTTTAAAAAGTTGGCTTTCCTTCATTCATAACTCCTCTTGCCAGCTAACAAAACATGTCAGTTTCTTTACAAACCCACTGATTCATTCATGAATTTGGAGCAATTGCAGAATACCCGGCCACCTCATTTACCTGTGTTGGGAGGCTTTGAAGAACGAAGCATAACACAATAGAGGCTATTCTTATTCAATGACATGTAAATGAGTGGCTGGGTATTCTGCAATCTAGCCATGAATTCAAAATAATTGAGTTCAACATGCAAATTCCAAGTGCAGAGGTAAAAGTTTTCTTTTCTCAGAAGAAAGATATATAAACATGTTGCTTACAATTTCTGGTATCTATTGATGATGGCTAGAAAAACAGCCTGCACATCAGCACTGGATCTTGTACAGACCATCTTCACAGCTTTCCCACAGAGCTTCAATGCCAAAAGCTGCAAAAAATAAGACAAACATGTGCTATCAGATTCTTAAAACACAACAAAATATTTACATAATTTCAGCCATTATGTGAAAAGTTTTTAAACCTATTTAAAATAGGAAATTGCACTTAACAATATACCATGACAAAAATATGGTTCTACAAAAAAGTAACCTAAAATAACAACCTTGGAATGTAACACTGATATCAAGCCCACTTATGAGTTTGATAATGAAATGTTAAGTTACAAACATTTATTTAAAACCAAAGATCTACACATCAAGTGAGAATTAGAGAGGTTTAATAATACTCCCACCACAGATTCCAAATGCAAAATGAGCAATGAATGTTAAACAATTACCTGGCCCTGCCACTCAGAAGTACTGATCAACAGAATGCATTCAGGAATGGCAGTATCTCCTGACAGTACATTGCTAAGTTGTTCATTCAAGGTGCCTCTGGGTAGCTGACAAATTAAAATAATCTCAGTGTAACATTTCTCGGTAGACAAAAATGAAGTGTTGAATAACAATCCAAAAACTACAAAGGACATCAATTTGAACAATAATAAGACACATTTGGACCCACCTGCAGGTCAATATCACTATTTCTCCTTTTTGTTAAGGTGTCTGGCTCTTCTGTTTTTCTTCTTTCCTTGAATGACACACTGCGCCGTACTGAGGGTGTGTCATCAACACCGCCAGACCCTGATAAGGGGTCAGATGAGTTTGTGATGTCTGACAGGTTATCTCCATCAGAGTGGGGACTCACATCCTGGAAACAAGAGGACCACTAGTGGTTGAGACCAAATGGACCAAACCTCCTACAGTTCTACATGAGACTATACAGAGAGCACAAAGGAAGCAGGAACAGACACCCAATCCAATCTAATCCTTCAAATTTTGATTTCACTTTCTCTTCTATGTTTTGTACTTCTCTGTCTCACACACTCCTCCCCCTTGTTCTTTGCCCCAGCCCCCTCTCCCCCTTCCTCTTTGCCCCAG